GAACGGCGCCTGCGTCCCAGCATGAGGGTGAGGCCTCATTTCCACGCTTAAAAAGGACATCGAAGGGCACCGATGGCCCAGCCCAGGAACCTGCAGGTCAACTGTAAACGGGCCAAAAAGTCAGGGGACTGGGGGCATCTTAGGCTCCGATACTGGGCCAGGCTGCTCTGGATCTACTTCACCGATTCCGGTAAATGCGCAGGTAACGGTGATCAAACAGGCCTGAGTCAGCCCTGCTGGCAGGAAAGTCAGTACCACAGAGTCTAATTTTTAAAAATAACGATTTAATAAAATAGACACAAGGAAGTGGGATTTGACAGAAGCTGATAGAAAAAGTATTATTTGCTCACTAAGCAGCACTTTAAAATTCTGAAAAGGCAAAAAAAAAAAAAATCTTACCCATAATCCCACTACCCCACACACAACCAAAAAGTCTATTTTATTTCCTTCTAATCTTGTCACATCTCATGGTTAGTGTGTGTGTTTTAGACGTATGTTAATCTTATGGTATAAATAACTTTATATGCTTTTTACATCTAATATGTCAACTTCCCATGTTCTACAATCTCTGTAAAAATTTTTCTTGACCAATATAACATGTCAAGGAGACATTCCAGTTTAGTTAAGGACGGACATTTGAGCTACTCTAAGTCGGCCATTACGATTGTGTTGTAAAACACATCTTTTTTAAAACAGCTTTTCTGTGTTTCGCCACGTTTCCCTGAACGTCCCCAGAAGGGAAGCATCAGGCCGGGAGGGAAATCGCTCGTGGAAACTGCTTGCGGAAAGCACTGGGAGTCCGTCCGTCCGTCCGTCCGTCCGTCCGCGTGCTGCCTGATCGAGGGGGGGAAGTGGAGGCAGGAATGTCACCTGTGGTAAGAGTTTCTAGAAAACGAGGAAACTGGTGGACTCACGTCCGCACTTTGTGCCGGCCCATGATGAAGGACACCTTGCGGCTCCACGGGTCCACGAAGCCGGACCAGCTGGAATCCAGGGTGACGTAGTCGCCGTTGTGTGTGCAGAAGCGAACGGGGCGGTGCTCAAAGGGGGCGCGGCCCGCGGCCCGCAGCACTGCACCGGAGGGGACGGGAGAGGAACTTACCCACACGTGACGACAAACGTCACTGTTAGGCAGTTACGGATCAATGTTCGGAACGTCAAAGTAGGAAAAAAATGGTGTGTGAGCAGTTTCCACACGTTGCTCACCAGATTAAGGTAAAGGTTAAGCTCTAGTAAGAAATGAAAAAAAGTTCGATCAACGATGAAGGAAAGAACCTCCTGCCCAGGCAGCAGCCCTCACCTTCCTGGTGGACGGCGACCATCAGAGAGCGGTCTTCCGGGTGCAGGTTCGCGAGGACGGACGAGCCGATCAGGTCCTGCGGCAGGTACCCCAGCAAAGGCACGGCCCTGGGCAGACGCACAGGCCACCGGTGAGACGCAGTTATACTTTGAAAACACTGCTTTCCTTCATTTTAAACTCGAGTCAACAGGTACATACAGACTACGGGGAACAGTCGCATAACCTAAGAAAGGCTGCCATCTGCATCGAAATCACGCAGGGCACCTGCTCACACAGACTGGCTCGCCGCCGGCCAACAGGGCGGAATATCGGGGGCGAGACCGGGGATCTGTGTATTTACAAGTTCCTCAGAGGTCCTCGAGGGCCTCCATTCGCTGCCATTTATGTTTACAAACATCGCATCCTAACACAGAAACATGCTCAGGATGTTGAAGGAAGGCAGCGCGCTACGCATGTGTACAGTATGATGACAATCACACAAAACGACACCCGACAAAGGTCGTCCAATGATGCGGGCCCAAGGCTCCCGGAAACGGCTCACGCCCAAGGCGCCACACGACACTCGGGGCGATTGGGAGCGACCCGACTCCACACACATGTTCTCTGTGCACAAGGTCACAAACACTGTCTAAGGCAGTAACATTCAGCTGTTTTCAAAATATCCTGGTTAAATTATCCTGCTTTCTACAGATTATATTATACCAAGTGTCTCACCAATTACTACTTACCTCAGGGTAACTGTAAGGAAATAAGCCCATTTTTAGATGTTAAGATTTTTAAAAATCAACATTCACGTATCGTAACCATGCCAAGTTTTTGACACTTTTGCTTGACACCTCCATGAGGTCTGAGGCTTGTTATCCAGGTTTTGAGATTTCATTTATGAAAAAAATTTAAAATAAACTGGGGGAAAATGGAAGGCACTAATCAGGGGGTAACAATGTTTTATCATTTTTTCAAATAAAGATCTTAAAAAACAACAATAAGCAACTACTATTCATTAACACTGAAAGGGTTATTTTAACATTTAAAGAAGTAGGAAGGACGACCTAAGTTCAAAATAAGTAAATTTAGTTTCATACACACAAAAAAAAATCTGTTCTTTTCTCTCCCCAGCCCCCTTAAAAAAGGAAGTCATGAGCCGGCGGGAAGCAGCTGTGCCGTGGAAATGGCCCTGGAAGAGGCGCGGGGCCGGGGCCCCCCTGTGATTACATCCCACACGCGCCCTGGCACACTGGCCCCAGCTTCACCGTCCTCCAGTGTAAACGGGACAGTAACAACGGACTCACCTAAAGCAGCCGGGGATCAAACATAACTTGTAAAGGTGAGACGTGTCGCAGGCAAGGTATTTATGTTAAACATTTAGACCAAGCATGTCCGCGAGTTTGACATGCTTGATTTAGACAAAAAATAATTTCAATCTAACAAAAATCAAACAGATAATGCGTAGATATCATATATGTAATGTAGGAGCATGTGAGCATACGTAAACCTTTTCACATTTGTATTTATTCCCAGAAACAAATCTCTCTCAGGCTTAAAGAAGTACTTACCGGTCATCTATTTCAAGGAAAACACAGCCTGGAGTGTGTGTTGTGGTGAAAATTCTTTTATCCACGGGGATCCGAGGAGCTAGGAAACAAGCATCTAGTTAATCATCCACTTCACGGGAAACGGTGAAATCTCACGTACGGCCTGGCCTCGGAGCAGCCAGAGCGGCATCAGATGGTAATGATTTTCATTATTACTTACATTTTTTTCTCTCTTTTAAAAATAATTTTTAAATTGATTTTAGAGGAAGGGAGAGAGGGAGGGGAGAGGGCAACATCAATGGGGGAGAGAAACACTGATCAGGTGCCTCCCACATGCACCCTGACTGTGGAACAAACCCGAACCCTGGGTATCGAACCTGCCACCTTTCAGTGCGCGGGACAATGCTCCCACCAGCTGAGCCACACCAGCCAGGGCATCATCTACATTTTAATCAGGTCAAATGCCACGCCTACCAAAGTTAACTTTAGACAGAGGAAGTCTGTGTGCACGGACCAGCTTGCTCATTGCAGATCATCTACTGGTCAAGCTGGAGCACCTTAGGGTGCAGGAGCAAGCAGCTCAGCACACAGGACTGGACAGCCCAGAGGACAGGGGCGTGTAAATCTGTGTAATAACACCGGTACAGTCAGGTCAGCCATGGCTGCCTTGAAAACGTAGTGGCTAACACATTAGGGAACCATGTGAGCATAATGCTAACTCTGCATTTGCTTATGCATGATTTCATTTGCAAAAAAACAGGAGGTGAATGCAGAAAACATCTAACTGAATGGAGTCACTTGGGACTACACACACCTCACACACCTCACACACCCACCGCTTCCTCCACGCACTAGTGTTACGGGACACGCCTGTCAGTCTGACGTCAGAACTTCAGACAACCCTCCTCCACCCTCACATCACCCCCGGGGCCCCGCCCACCAGCAAACTGGGGCTTCCCACGGTGAGGAGCCCGATGCGCTGTATGTACTGTTGGTGGATTCCTCTTCTTTCCACATTTAAACATTTTTATTTTCAATTACAGCTGACACTCAGTATTACTTCATATTAGTCCCAGGTATACAGCACAGTGGCTAGACAATTATAATTTATGAAGTGATTGCCCCAACAATTGTAGTACATGTTTTACTATATTCTCCACGCTATACTTTACATACTTTGTATTTTGTAACTGCCCATCGGTACTTCTTAATCCCTTCCCCTTTCCACCCAGTTTCCTCAACTCCCTTCCCATCTGTAACCCTGTATTTGTCCTCTGTATCTGTGATTTGTTTGTCCATATGGTCCTTCAGATTTCGCCTATCAGTAAAATCACATGGTATCTGTCTTTATCTCACAGCATAGTACCCTCTAGGTCCATCCATCTTGTGCAAATTTCATTCCTTTTTATGGCTGAGTAATATTCCATTACTAGAGGCCCGGTGCACGAAATCTGTGCACAGATAGGATCCCTAGGCCTGGCCGGCAATCAGGGCCAATTGGGGCCTTCCTTCCCTGGCTGCCGGCTGGGGCCTTCCTTCGTTCCGCGCCGCCCCCCTGGTGGTCAGCACATGTCATAGCAAGCAATCGAACTCCTGGTCGAACTCCTGAAGGGACAATTTGCCTATTGGTATTAGGCTTTTATGTATATAGGAGATATATATACATCTTCTTTATACAATCATTTTGTTCATGGGCACTTAGGGTGCTTCCATATGTTGGCTATTATAAACAATACTGCAATGAACATGGGGATGCATATTATCTTTTCAAATTAATGTTTTGAATTTCTTCAGATATACACCCATAAGGGGAGTTGCCGAGTTATATGGCCGTTCTATTTTCAATTTTTCGAGGAAGCTCCATACTGTTTTGCATAGTGGCTGCACCAATTTCGTGTCTTAATCATTGTTATCATTCTCATAGGCTTCTGTCTTATTTCTAACGTGTGGTTAAGTCTTCGAGCACTGTGCCCCCAACGTCATTTCCCCAGAAGCCCTGTGGCTCTCCTTCTGTGTGAGTTCTCGGCACAGGACGGTCCAGCAGGACTGACTGTAGCGGGAGCTGCTCCTGACTCACACGGAACATAAGCCTGTAGCCCTGCCATCAGGACACATAAGCCACTAAAGAGCTGACATTTACACACAGGAGACACCAGGGGTTTCAAACACCTTAAAAGCACAAAGCCATTCCTGTGACCGCACTGTGCACCCATGTCCATGTCCTATTTCACACAAGACAGCGCACAGGGCCGCCGACTGGCAGCAGCAGGGGAGGAGAGGGCCGGCCCGCGGCAAGTCCCTGCTGGGCCTCGGCCGTGCGGTCCGTGGAGGGAGCACCGCACAGACGTCCAGGTCAGTAAACCGGCCGCAGCGCGCAGAGTGCAGGCCACGCCGAAGGCCGGGGCGCTGCCTGTCCCTGTGGCAGCGAACGGGCATCCCCGGGACCCCACCGATAGCAGCCCCCCTTCCCCCCACTCACCTTCGTAGCCAGAGTGCATCTTCTCGGCCAGCGCGAGGCAGCAGGGCTCCGGCTCCGGCTCCGACTGCGGCCGCACGTGAATCAAATAGGGAATCACCCGGAACGGGGTGTAACGCTGCCCTCGGCCGCCGCCTTCGCTGCACGAGAAGGAATGGCCCAGCCAGTGAAACGGCTGGAAAACACTTCCCTGCCATTTCTAAGAGACACACAGCCCCATCTAAAACATGTAAATGTATTTATTTTCCGAAGAAGAAAAACCTTTAAAATGTCAGTACCCAAGGGCAAGTCTAGCCACTCGCTCTGCACGCGCAGGTTTGGTGGAGCTGGTCGGATCCCGCGAGTGTGGGATCGGCACCGGGCACTCCACGCCTCTCCCCCCAACCTCCCCACCGAAACTCCAGCCGGACTCCCTGCGTCCGCTGGGGGCGAGGGCTCTCCGTGCCAGCCACGCACAGACGGCCTGACAGCCGTCTCCAGCCGGGTTCCTCCCCGAGCGCCAGCCAGACTCAGGTGCCAGTGCCTCGTCAGACACCACATTTTATTGTGAAAGTTAACAGTAACTGATGTAACAGTAACATGTCGGTAAACTTAGAGGAAAATAAATTCACTAAAATTCCTATGAGAAATGAAGGGTTAACAATGTTGGTCTATTTTCCTCTAGTTTAATATCTCTGGACCCTATAAATCCTTGTCATAAATATACCTATCTTGCTTTCTTTCAAGTTATTCAAAATGTCAAAAATTAATTTTAAATGTGATGAAACAACAAAAAACAAACAAAAGAACCCAAATAGTGGTCATTTGAAAGTGTACTGGCTCGGCCGACGTGGCTCAGTGGTTGAGCATCGAACTATGAACCAGGAGGTCACGGTTCAATTCCCGGTCAGGGCACATGCCCGGGTTGTGGGCTTGATCCCCAGTGTGGGGCGTGCAGGAGGCAGGTGATCAATGATTCTCTCTCATCATGGATGTTTTTATCTCTCTCTCCCTCTCCCTTCCTCTCTGGAATCAATAAAAAAAAGAAAAAGAAAATGGTGATCAATGATTCTCTCTCATCATTGATGTTTCTCTCTCTCTCTCCCTCTCCCTTCCTCTCTGAAGTCAATAAAAAAAAAGAAAAAGAAAGTGTCCTGAACCACCAGGGGTTCTTACGCCCCCAGGGTCACCGTGACCTTTCCCCTCTCTCCTCCTGCTGCATCATCATCTGCTTTTCCCAGGAGGGGGTTTCTTCCCTCAATCAAAAGACAAACTCCTGTGGCAAGAACCAAGTCTTGGCTTTGGTTTCCACACAGGCCTGGCGAACACAAAAGGACCAAAGTAAGAGCCAAGTCCAACCGGAGCGCAGCCGCGTGGCCCCGCAGCCCTCACTCACCGGATCCTGCAGAAAAAGGACTTCACGGGAGCCAGTTCGTACTGCGACGCTGCGGAGACAAAGACAGACCGTCACGCACCCGCAGGGCGACCGCAGAGCAGCCGTCCTCATGGCACCAAGACACTGTCTTTAAGACGGAGACGCTGGTGAAGACGGGCCTCCCTGCCATCCGAGATGCAGGCGCATCCGGGGTTCCCAACAGGAGCCCCGGGGGAGGCCGTGCGCGTCGGGCTCAGTCCTCCTTTCCTCCTCCCACCGGCCCCGCTGTATTCCCATCGCTGCCGAACTCATCCCTTCCACGCCAGTGCGATAGCCCTTTACACCACTGTGTGGGAACATCTGCATCCACTGTGATCGCCTGGACACAGATGATACACAATCCCCCTTCCCCACTCTCCTTCCTTGGACACATTCCCCAAAGTTGTGTTCCTGGGTTCAGGGACGTGATCGCTTTAGGACTCGTGTGTTGGCAAACGAACGTGCGGATGGGACCCCCTGGCAGTGTCGCTACCACACCGCTCACTCCTCGCGGCCATGGTGCACATCAACTGTGCGGATTTTTGCACGGAGTTCATCGATCTGTGACGTGGTCACTCAGAAATGTTTACCAGTAACTGTGCTAACTCCGGGCAGCGGAGGGGCTGGCCTCTCCCAGGGGGTTGCTGACTGTTTCCTCTGGTCGGAACTCCCTGAATGTGTCTTCTGGGCATGTGTTCACTGGAGGGAAAGTCCTGAGTTTAGGAACAAGGAGAAGGTTCGTGCACCGAAGGAGCACAGGCAACGGAAATTCTAAGAACCGAGTCCTGACCGAGGCCCAGGTCTTCTCACTTCCTGGGAAAGGGTCGCAGGAGGCGCCGGAACACGGGCTGCGGTGACCAGGACAATGCCCGCGAGGAAGACGACTCCCGTGTCCAAGCCCAGGCCAGTGGTCACACTGCCAGCCTGCAGGCAACCGAGCCGGAGCCCAGAGTCCGACAGCAGAAGACAGTTCTCACAGGGCGTCTGGGGGACCCCGAGAGAGAACCCGACCGTCGGCTGAGTCCGTGACGTGAGGTTACGCTGCCGTCTCAATGCAGACACTGCTGAGGCGCAGACGAGCTCCCGGAGGGTGACGGTGGGCAAGGATCAAACACCCTCCAAGTTCCGAGATGATTTCACAGGCGGGAGCCACCGCCTGGCGCCACTGTCACACGCTCTTGTTTGCTCACGGCTCCCCGGTGAGTGACAGCCCGGCAGGGGGCGGGGCCGTGGGCAAGAGCAGGGCTCTGGGCTCGTGGCCACGGTGACCTCGGACTCCGCACGTACTGGCAGTGACTTTGGTGAGCCACTTGCTGTGCCTGTGACTGTGGTGGCTGAGCAAGGGGCCGGCTCCTGGCTGCAGGGGCACAGGCCGCTCCCAGCCGC